ACAAAATGTGTGGGGGGGCAATCATAATGGTGTGAGAAGCTGAACTGATTGGTTCTCACATAACATGTGGTTTAGCTCCTAAAACACAAATTGAACTTCAAACCAGAGGGCTATTATGTATATTTATATTAAATGACCCCTTTTTAAAGAAGGTTTGTGTAATTGTTAGCTGTTTTTCTGTCCTTTCCTTTGCTATTTAGATATATTAAAAACGGTGAATCTCCACTATTCCGTTCAACATATTAAACCCTTTTACACCTTCCTTCTAGAAAGTGTTTGTTCAGTAATCAAACGCTATCAAATTCAGAATATTCTTTCTTTTGTCTATCTCTTCCCTCACTTCATGTTTATCGAACTAGCCTTGCTGTGTATCAGCTGTTTGTCAGTAATGTTTAATGATAGTAGTTCTTGGCAGATGGCACCATTTTCTGTGCACAAAAAACCTTGAATGTGTCCCATGGACCCAGATAGTGCCCCCCTTGTTCCACGGCTTTTATCAGCAACTAAAAAGAGACATCTCTGTGCAACAGTGATTCAGCCACGAACCCCCCCCAGCTCCCCCAGGCACTTATAGTGACCATCTTAATTAGGGGCTCCAGGTGGGGTCCCATATGGTATGATTATAGACCAGCAAGTCACCTTTTCAAGATGTAGATTGACTGTTCCTGTAAAGGTCAAGCTATCAGACTCTCACTACAATGGGTAATATGACTCTTTAGTCACATTAACACAGATTGTAACCCATTTTAAATATTAAATTGCAATTGCATGCTTATTTAGATGAACATGAACAATACCATATAACTTTAGCCATCTAAATAACTGAAAATGAATGAAGGCTTATTGTTTCCCTTGTAACCACAAGTTAAGTTATGACGCAACCAGATTCTTGTTTTGTTGGTATGAATAAATACATAAAAGAGTATAAGTATGTATAAGAAGGGCCCCTCTATCAGTTGTTGACCTTTTAGTGACAAATCCACATATGCCAGCTTTAAAAAACTAAAGCTCAAAATAATTTTTACCTCCGGCAGATTTTACAAAGATGTTTCTTCTGATCTGAAGTAGCGATGGGAAACTTTGTTACTGTTTATTGTTACAGCGACATGTTTTAATGTCACAGAACTTTTGATTTATTAATACAGTGATTCAATTTACATAAGGATATTTGGACTGGTAGTTAAATGAGTGATAATAAACACTAGTATCTTACAAAAGGACACATAATACATACATAATGCTACTGGTGTCCTGAACTACAGCATCTTATATTTTATTTATTATATTGTTCATATTATTATTATTATTTATATTATTATGTGCTAATTGTTCCTTTTTTATTCTTTCTTTGTTGTTTACATTTTTATTAGAGCAACATTTCTATTTGTGATTCTTCAACTGCTGTGATGTCCCAACCATAAAAAGTACTGGCCAAAAAATGGATATGGATTTTATTTAAAAAAAATAGTTTTGGTCAAATAAAAACAAATAGATACATTTAAATCCAATAAATGTAGGAATTATATTTTGGATGAAATGTAAAACTTAATCATTTTGATTTAAACAATTCAACCATTCCAGCAGTTGCTATGTGTAGTCACCAGGTCTTGCCTAAACTGGTGATACAGGCATAACATCTGTGGTGTTGAGTCATAATATTGAGGACAGTAATTTAAAACTTGAGATTGCTGTAATTGTTGGTATTAATGTTCCTTCTTGACACGAATATCTACAAACTGCTGAAGGAAATACTTTAGAAGTGTATGCATTTTATCAACAGAGTTTGTTTCATATGTGCCTTTTTATTTACTCATGCTAATGTGATATATATTATAATAATCTCACATTGGAGATATTTACTTATGTATTTAACCCATCCCCTTCGGGAGCAGTGGACTACCATCATGGGGTGCCCTGGAAGCACTGTGGTGTCAAGGGTCTTGCTCAGAGACCCAGAGTGCCAGTCTTTTGGAGTGGGGTTCGAACTCCGAACCTCAGGATTCCAACCTCAATGCCCTAATCACTAGGTCGGCACTCCCCACTAATAAGCCTAAGATAGATAGATAGACAGACAGACAGACAGTTTAGTCACTAAATATACTTGGTTAAGTTGATGAACATAACCAGAGAAATTAAGAAATTGAATAAGTTCTTTTTTTCCCCGTATGAGTTAAGCTTTGCCTTTTTCTTTTGGTTTTGTGATTATATATTGTTAATCCTCATCATAACATATATCCCCACCTGGGGATCATTCAGGATTATGCAGTTATCTTTTTAAAGTTGAATTGTTAGTTATTAGATATTTCTTTTATTAAGTCAATCTTTATTTGCACTTAATGCACAACACGCAACATAAAAGGTAGAATTCGATATCCGTGAAAAAGCCAGCAGTCTAGCAGATCCCTGGAACCCAGGTAAAGCTGGTGGAACTGGCCTTGTTGCCCCCTGTGGCCCCCTGTGGCCCCGCTGAGTTTGCTTTAGCTTCAGTTTCAGATCTCAGCTCTCCACGGTTCTGCTGAGCTCCCCTTGTCTCCCCTTCAGTATCCCGTAGTTCCCATGGCCCTGGAAGCCCTGCTCTTGAGCCCCACCCTGAACAAGGAAGCCCAACTGCTAACACACGCAGCTTTTAAAGATGTGCATGTGTGTCCTTATTCAAATTAAAAGAATAGTGAATGATCACAGACATTCTAGGGTTTTTAAACTTCCCCAATACTTTTCTGATTCCTAAAAATAAATAAAAAACTAAAGTTAAGGATTAATTCTGTGTTGTGTTTAAATCACTAGATTAAAACAAACTTAGTTTTCAAAATAAAACTTTACTCTCCTAAAATGAAAATTTAAAAAAATCAATGTTTATTTGTATATTTTTTAAATCCTTAAACTTTTTGTCATTTTCTGAGTTTTTTGTCTCTGCTGCTTCAAAACATTTTGTCTCAACATTTCCTGACTTAGGCGACTGTGGCATCGGATGCAGGAGCTTGTCCTGCAACTCGAGGGTTTACGGTTTCTGCTCCGGCTTTCTGTGTTGTTCTGTCCTTGAGCATGACACTTCACCTGTATTGCCTACTGATGATCGTCAAAGGCGGTGCCTGTGTACAGCAGCCACGCTTCTTTCAGTGAGCTCCAGGGCAGCTGTGGCTTGCCATTGCGTGCATGAATGACGTGTAAAACACTATGGTCAAGTGTCCTGACTTGAAAGAAGTGCAATAGAAGCACAGGCCATTTATCATTTGTTTCCCTATTCTGGTTTTCAACAATGTTGGAAGGTGGTTGCAAAAAGTAGAGGAGATGCTGAATGCAATAACCAGAAAAATCAAAATTCCTAAATGTATGTTGAGCATAGAAGGTAAAGTGGAGGGTTTTTTGCAAATGTTTGAAAAGACCCACCATCTCCACTTCAAAAAACGAATGCACATGCACAACCCTGTACCCGCTCTTGAGAGGGAAGGCCTATCAAAGCATGTGCGAGCATGCATCCTTGTGCACGCTCTGTTTAAAATTTGCTGTTTGCATCACTCATACAAGCTTACTTTCCAAAAGAAGATATGCAATATTTCCACTATGTCAGACTCACAGCTGGTAGGTAAAAATGAGTGCTAAGTAATGCTAAGTAACTTTATTAAGTTATGACTGCCAGGACATTTCTTTCTAACTGGAAGAGGACATTTTGACAAACCAATGATTACTTTGGCACAAAGAATGTTTAACCCATTACTCTATTTGGAAGAAGGTAATTTGTAGGCCATGTTGTATAGTTGGTTTGAAGCAGGGACTTCCGTTTTCTCACCCTGTTATTTCACTGCATTTCCAAACTCATTTTACTGTGGGGAACAAAACTGCATTTCCAGCATTTCCCATTTTATCAAAGCTCCGACATGCTCCACAACAACCGAGAAATTTCTTCTTTCTCTGGTGGGAAGAACAGAAGCTCAGCCGCCAAACTCAGATACGCCCTACAACTGTAGCTTGAGTCACATGAGCAAAAGGGGAACACAACATAAAGGCAGAGGGGGTATTTTTTGGGTTAATGAAGAGGACAAGAGCAAAATGCTTTAAATTAGAAGGTTTATCAGTCAAATGTTGATATGTTCTGAACCCCTCTGCCAACTGATCCTCAAATATAAATTACATAAAGGAACACTGTATGAATTTCTGCAGCTGAAATGAAGAGGTTTGTAAAGGGTTTGGGCTTTTTGAGTGTTCTTTATGACTATTGACTTCTTCTGAGACCCTCGATGATGTTAACGGATAACAAACAGGGAAATCAAACTTTCCGGACTTTGCTTTGCTTGCTTTATTAATTCAAACATCAGTCAGTTTGATGATTCTGGAAAAACAAGTCATTTTTATGCAGGTAAATCCAAAGTAACTGCTAAGGTCAGTCTTGGTGACCAAAGGGTAGCTATAAGAATGTATACTTTGTTATCTTAACATAATTCTTTAGACTTTTTGCACCACATATCAAACTTATTGTATGTGTGTAATTTTCTTTAAATCCAGGTTTAGCATAATTCATAGATAACTCTCAAATATCTTTTGATTTGGAAAATCAGTAATAAAACAGTTTTAAAAAAGTGTGTTTTGTCCATTATATATATAGAAACGTGGCTGAATCAGAGTCCCTTCAGTAACTTAAATCTACAAGGAAAATAGCGGAAAACTACAACAAATCTACCATCAGATCTTTTTCTGTTTAACAAAAGCTCTACTGTTCATACTGGCTATCAGTATACTATTGTTCCTATTGTTTGAGTTCCTTCTGTTGCTAGATAGACTGAATACATATTTCTAAGAAGCTGAGAGTACAGGTGCCAGACAGGACAGTGAGTCAACATTTTACTTGAAACAAAACTTAGAATTTGTCTGTCGCATTAATCTGCCAAAACATTTTACATTAAAGGGATGTTTAAAGTTGGGCTGAGTTTCCCTCCATACACATACAGTGTTTACCTCTTAGGGCCTAGATTTCTGATTTTTTATTTTTTTTTCTCCTGCTTTAGGTGCCTCAAAACTTATGAAACAGGAAGGAAAGCCGGTTTGGCTCAGCGAACTTCATACCTGTGATACCCCGATTGTTTCCACAGGGGAGTTGATGACTTCAGAGGAACCTTGAGTTAAGGTTAACGGGATAAAGAAGATACAGCTCTGTCAATAGGAGCAGGTAAGGGAATAAACAAAAAACAAATACAAAGCAGACATTCTGTAGTGCTGTCAAACCAGATTAGTGACCTTTTATGAAACCACATTGGAAAAAATGATTTAAAATAAACTTATTGAAGACAATGCTTCTTTCAATGATGAGGAAGTTTATCAAGCCTGCCTAAAATTTTAACATTTTCTAGACAAAAAAGCAGTTTGTATGTTTATTTGTAATTTCTGTGCTTACTTTACACTTAATGCTCTTCTTACTGACTGCTTTAATTCAGAGCTTTGTTTATTTCTATTACATAAGTCACAGACTTAGAAGGGAAACTGAATTATAATCTTTCATGCAATACATTTATGTCATGTTGCTTTTAAATAGAGAAATTAAATAAAAAGAAATCGAGTTTTCTCCCTCTCTTTGTTGTGCTATAATAATCTAATTTTATGTCCTTTTCTATAGGAACTAAGAAATGGCTGCATATGGACAGACTCAGTACAGCCCTGCTCTTCAACCCGCAGGACCTTACACAACGTACACACACCACACACAAGGCTACAGTATGCCCTCGTACAGTAAGTACAAACAAATCCGATGTTGTGTTTAAAAAAAATTGGGTTTTATTTCGAAAATTTTTCCCTAAGATTCCAGATGTTGGGGCAATGATTGACATCTGTGTTAATGTAACTTCTTTTGTTATTGACAACAAGACATACAAACAATCCACAGCTTTGTGCAGCATGCTGTGGAAGCAGTTTAAAAGAAATTTTGTTAAATTATGGCACTCCATCACAGAATAAAAAGGGAAGCATGAGGAGGACATTTAGAGTAAAAAGGACCAGTTCTACTGAGCTGTTCTCCAAAAGTCTTCTGGATCCATGAGATATGTTTTTGGAAAATGAGTGACAGGCCTTTGTCCTTTTAGCTATCAGTGATTTTTACCTTCCAACCCATCCAATAGATCCTGTTTTTGCCCTTTTGTTTTCTCTTTCCTGCTCGACCGTAAACACTTAAACTTTACCATGCAAAGTACGGCCTGCAGTACTTTAAATGGACATCTGAGTTCATTTCTTACCTTTCAGATGAGAACGCTTATAAACTCTTAGAATATATATATATATATATTTTTTTTTTATTTTTTTTTTTTATTATTATTATTATTATATATATATATATATATATATATA